TATATTATTATCCATTATATTATTCCGATCGATAGGATCCGGGTATTATACGAGCTTCTTTAGTCGGCTAACGCCTAATTAAAGTACGATACGTATTCCCTAAATTAATAATTTAATTATTATAAATAAGTCGACGATAATTCCTCCTATTAAGGTTTAAAACTCCTAACGTATAACCTTCGTTAAGGTAATACGTATAAAGAATAAATCCCGAGTAAAGAATCGCGTTAAATACGATACCGGTTATAGCCATAGGCCGGTTTCGATTTAACGGGGGCTATTTAATAGTATTAACGGTATTACCGCTAGGCGCCGTTTTACGCCTATGTTAATACTTCTCGCTATATTAATTATTAATTAGTAATATAAAGCTAGCCTATATATAGGTATACCTATTAATTCGACTCTAGTTCCGTTTCCTTAATCCTTTATATCTACGTAATCCTATTAATATTAATTCTTAGTTCTTTTTAAAACTATCGGTTATTAGTAGCTATTAGTTTATTAATTCTTATTTATATTATTAATATAAATATCTATATTATATCGTATACTATATCGTCGAGTCGTTACGTTTAGGTATCCTAAAATGCCTCTAACATAATAAGTTATTAATATCTATATATTTAATCTATATCGATTAATAGGTTTAAAGGGAAAAAGAAACTATCGTAAAGTCGGCTAAGATATAATTACTATTAGCCTTTATCCGCCCTTAGTATTAATAAAGGAATAGCGGGTCGTATAGGTTATCGTAATTTATGCTAAGGCGTTCGTACGTTTAATTCATATAATAAATAAATAACTATAAGGGGGCTGCCTTAATCGCTATAAGCTTTATTTACTCGCACGAAATATACTATGCTATTAGCGGTTCGAGGAAGCGGTTAGTATCGAAGGCTAAGTACTATCCCTAGTAGCGGTTATATTACGACGAAAGTTCTCCCGGGTTTTACGGGTTCCTTTATATAGGTAGGTAAATAACGATACGAGGGATATCCTAATCGGTATAAACGCGGTTTAGTCGTCGTATTATATCGTAATATCGATAGCTTATTAACGTTATAAGTATTAAGGGCTAAGCGCTATCCTAGTAACTATAGTATCGTTATAAAGGTTCCCGGGCTTATACGTACCTCCTTATAGTAAATAAATAATTATAAGGCGGGATACTTTATTTAACGTAAAACGCGGGTTACTTCGCGGGTTAAATAGCGGCGCCGACGGCGATCGGTATCCTTTAAATCCTAGTAACGTAATAAAAACTCCGTAAACTAAAGGTTAAGGAATCGAAAAAGTTATAAGGTAGTCGCTATTAAAGAGGAGTAAAGCGTACGCGATATTAAAGACCCGGATATATTTACTCGAAAGTATACTTTATTAAAGACTATAATACGTACGATAGTCTAGGATAAATAAAACTAATATCGCTATATTAATCGAGAGGTAAAAAATCTAATATAGTTATCGTATCTCGGCTATGCCCCTTAGTCGTAAAGATATAATAGTCGCTAACCCGAAGGTATAAGAAGTAAAGAAAGAAAAGAAGTAAAACGTAAAAGTTATTTATTCGGCTATAGCGGTACGACGAAGTAACTTAAGCGCTTATAATTAAAATAAATATATTAATCGGAGAACGACGAATCTAATGATAAAAACGAATCTTTAATTAAGGTAAAAATAATAAAAATAATAATCTAGCTAGGTAATGAACTAGATAATAAACATAGTATATCCCGTACTTACGGGAGCTATAGTTACTTTATATAGGCATAAGGCCTATCGTAGCGTATTACGTAATGCATTAAGAGGGCATGTCTTACCGTACTACTACACTATTGGTCGAAGATATCGTTAATTTTCTGAATAAATAACCGTTAAGATACAGCCTTAACCTTAGAATTAATAAGGATAAACTATTAAAGAACATTTCGTAATTCTTAACCGTTTAAAGGTATATTAACGTATTCTAGAACTAATAACATTAGGAAATTAAGTATTTTCGCCCTTTCGATAACCTCCTATATCTCCGACCGTTTCGGCCGAAATCTAAGAATATCTTTATTCTTTATAACTACGAATCTCGAAGATAACGGCTTCTCGCGGTTTTTAGAATAAATTCTAAAGGTCTTTTAAGTTTCTTTAATAGTTTGAAAAGTTATTATATTAATCCTAACCTATCCGTATACCTTTAATATATCGATCTTAATAAGGTATAGGTTTAGATTCGTACTTTAGCTCTTCCTAAGGAAGCTTTTAAGCTGTTTTTTAATAATCTAAATATCCTGACATTTAAAACCTATACGACGTAACTATAGTAAGGCTAATAAAAGACGAGCTATATTTTATTTTAAAGATAACGCGTAAGAAAAGCGTCGTATGTAAACGATTTATAGCTGTCGTAAATTAAGACGGTTTATTTATTACTGAAACGAACCTAAATATAAGAAATAAAGATACTTTCGAATTAACTTGACGTAATATTATTAATAGTTTATCCTTTAGGTAACGTTTAGAATCGTTTATCTTCTTAAAAATCGTAAGAATCGTTAGGAAATTATTAAATCTAAACGTCAATACTGAATAGGAGCAGCGTGGGCACGCTGACGGAGGCACGAAAAGGACTGCCCAACTGCTAACAACTGGCCCAGTGCCGATCAACCAAGATCACAGCTGTAAACAGCTGATCAGTTGATCGGCCAGCTGAAACGGCAGCTGGGAAAGGAAAAGAGGGAGAGGAGAAGAGACTAGAAAGGGGGAACGAGGATAGCTAGAAAGGCATGGCAAGAAACGAGTGAATGGCTGATGGCTGTGATGTCTACAGGTCTAAGTCTAACTGATGGAAATATGAGTGCGCGACCCATATAAATAGACATCGAAAAGGCTACGTGGCCTAGATCCACCGCACCACTACAATACCCTTTAAAAAGTATTTACAAAAGAAGAAGCTTTTAGCCAAAATTTATATACTTAGAAATAATGATTTATTAATCCTTTTCGACGCCTTTCTTAATTATTATATATATATTAGCTTTAGAAATTACTTAGTAATTACCGGTAACGCCTTATACGATACCTATCTCGTTGGCGTTAAAAGAACGCTCGGGAAGGATAACTAATAATTTAAAAGCTTTTAATCGGTCGAAAAAGAGGTTAATATTATAGTGGTGCGGTAAGATATACCCTCTTAATGCATTACGTAATACGCTACGATAGGCCTTATGCTTATATAGAATAACCATAGCTCTCGTAAGTACAGGCTATGCCATACTTATTATTAAGTTTACTACTTAACTAGATTACTATTTTTACTATTTTTACTTTAATTAAAGATTCGTTTTTATCATTAAATTCGCCGTTTTCCGATTAATATATCTATTTTAATTATAGACGCTTAAGTTACTTCGTTATACCGCTATAACCGAATAAGTAACTTTTACGTTTTACCCCTTTTCTTTCCTTACCTCTTATGCCTTCGGGCTAGCGATTACTACATCTCTACGACTAAGGGGTATAGCTAAGATATAATAACTACATTAGATTCCTTATTTCTCGATTAGTATAGTAATACTAGTTTTATTTATTTTAGACTATTATACGAGCTATAGTCTTCGATAGAGTGTACTTTCGAGAGAACCTATCCGGGACTCTAGCATCGCATACGCTCTGCTCCTCTTTAATATTTACCGTCGTAACGTCCTTAATCTGTTTATAATCGACGATCTTAACTTTAGAAGCCCTAACCTCCGAGTTTCGATTTAAAAAACGGGAATACTAATACTTTCCTAACTTTCTAGAACCGCCGTCGGCGTTTAATAAACGTTCAGCCATTAGCTTAAATTAAATCAAGGCCGGCGCGAAGCTTAACTTAACTTACGAAATAATCTAACGAGTTAATTTAACTTTCTAAAATCGGTAATAAAGCTTACCGATTCTTATTTAGTTTTTATTTCGTTAGTTTACTAACGAGACGATGCGTTAGGTAGGAACGAGAGACGTTATATCGAAGGGTAGTTTATTAGATACTAGTACCGTATATAACTTAACTTTCCGAATAACGGCTTTCGTACGGATTTACGTTTCCTTTAAAGATATTATCTTAATTAGTAAGAAATTAGGAAAAGATTAATGGTAAAAGGAATTATTAAAGATTAAAACTAACCGAGAAATTATAGGTTATTTAAGTAAGGGTGTCGCGTTAAAAGGCGCGTTCGTAGGTCCTAACGCGGTAGTCCGTAAAGGGGTGGCTCGTGGAGGGGTGCCCTAGCTTAGTGTTCCATTTACGCCTTTCGACGACGAATACCTAGATACCTATTCTTTATCTCAAACGATTCCAAGGAAAAACGACGTTCACACTATCTTATTGAAGTGTTTATTTAGATCCCCAAGGGCTACAGCCGGGACGCCGCGCCTTCGAGTTCGGCGGCGTCGGCATCGCCGCCTTCCTGCCGGAGATCGCGCCGCTCGCCTCGAGGTTAACTACAGGGTGCGCCGCCGCGACGAAGTGGCGTAACTTGACCGTCTGCCTCGCGAGTATATCATCGTCTACGCGAGCAGCGAGCACCGCCATCTCGGCGCGGTAGCGGCCGTCCGGGTGCCCGAGGAGGAGGGCAACGACAACGCCGACACGAGCGGCAAGACGGCCGCATGCGTGTACTCCTCGGGCCAGCCGTCGCTCCTCGCGGCACGGTGGTACCTAGGGGTACAAAAGGCAAAGTACATGCTATCGTGGGTGGACCGCGGCGAGGAAAGGACTGTATTAGATTGTTAGGGGGGTTGGGTGTACCTAATATAGGATTGGCGATCTATGTCTGATAGGATAGGACGAATATACGCGCCACGTAACCGTGTATGTAGGTGTGCTGCTTTCGTAGTACTAGTTAGTGATTTGCAACGCTCGCCCTAGGATAGCTTTTCCTTTGACGGGATGGCAATTGATTAGAGTCTGCGGGGTTTAAAGACAGAGATAGCTAGCAAGAGTTTGTACAAGAACCAATTTGCAACACCCCCTGGGAAACACGACCGTTGCCTTTTTTCCCCAGAGCAGAATACTGTCCAGATATTAATACTCTTCGACCCCAACGCGCCACATCTGCTCTGATGAGCGTACGCATCGTCCTACGTGGGACTGGGAAGCTATCATGTGGGGATCACTGGGGAAGCGAAGATGGACGAGTCGTAATCACAGACTAGCTGTTGTCCCGACGGAACGTGCTAGAAATACCAAGGTATCGTGGAGTAGTCTCTCATAAAAAAGATCCGCTTCGCGGCGCGTTCCTCGTCGTACGCTGCTGAGAAGTCACTGGCCGTCGTCCATCCGTCCCGTCTACCAGTAGGTCGCGAATCATTACCATAATCTATCAGAAGCCCATTATACCCAGAGCCACCGATCTGAAGACCCCGGGCCGTTTCCCACCATGCCCGTGCAGATCAAATGCCTTTCCCCGCGTGCCCGTTGGCATTCCGTCGTCCATTGAGCGTCGCGCGCGCCGGGAGCCCGTAAGGAAATATGTTGACCGGCCGTTTCTTAGCCGGTAGGGAGTTGAGTGCCTCCCACATCTCCATGATGCCGGCTCTGCGCGCGGGGAGCATGCTATACTGCAGAGAGTACAGGGCTTTGCGATGGATCGGTGGGACGAATCGACCGGTGACGAGGCAGAAGAGCACGCGAAAGGACAGGTAATGTTTGCGGATGCGGCCGCCCATCTGAAAGTATTGGTGGAACATCGCGGTGAATGAGAGGGGTATCGGCTGTATCCTGTCAGACCTCCATTCCTCGCAACATCATAGTCGGAACGTGGGGTGGTACTGACCTTGACATGGATGATAGAGGTAGGCTGCGAAGGGGAGGATGAGGGTGACTTGGAATCAATAAGTCTATCGGGGGTATCACGAAGTTCAAAACGAATGCCGCCTTCCCAGAATCAGTACGGGAACACTATCGCGACCAAAGATGGTGGGAAACTCACCTGGGAGACGTCTCGGGTCCTTTGCCCGTAACATCAGCGCGAACAGTGGGAAATGGTTCAAACAGGAGAGCATCGTGTCGAAAACGGCCTTGAAAGATATAATGGCCATGCGCGCGAGCGCAAAATTGAGATAGAAGACGACCACAGTGGGGAGCAGGAAAAAGAGGAGGGTAAACAGAATGGTGCCGACGAGGAGTTGATCGAGATCGTAATCGCACGCGTCGACACGGTTGCGCAGGACGTTGTACTTTTTGCCTCGGAATAATTGGAAGAGGGAAAGCAGTATGGTCAGCTGCCAATGGAAGATGCGCGCCGAGGCCATATAAAAGGAGTATATATGGATGGTTAGTATCGAGAGGAGGTCTGAGAAGAGGGCGATGGGCATGCTGGCACCCCCAAAGCTCGAGAAGCCGATAAACCAGATGACGTGCGGCAACAGAGGTTGCAGGGTGCTGATGCAGCTGGACCAGTAATCAATCACCCAGAGGAACAGATCGCCCAGGAACAGGGCTAGTTCGCTGTTCAGCTTCAGGCCCGCGGGCCAACCCATGAGCCAGGATATGCTGCTCTGCAGGGCCGCTATAGTATAGGTCTCTAGAAGCATATTGATCGTGTCGGCGACCCGGTCGGCGTTGTCGATGATGTAGGAGCCGAGGGCGATGCCCATGATCACATCGTTGGCGACGAGCCACAAACTATTGTAAAAACGAATATAGTCGGGGTGGCTGGTAGTTACGCTGTCCCAGTCGTTTTTTCGCAGCCGGAGCTTCACATACTGCATCGGCCAGTAACAAAACTGCTGGAGGCGTATCTCCACCTGCTGGGCTGTCGCCGACACGTCTTTGAGCGCAGGCGAAGTCGGCCGGGCTCTCCACTCCAGTATCAGCAGCAGCGCCTCGGCTGCGAAGCGATGGCCGAGGAGAATTAAGATGAAGACCTTGCGGATCACGGGGAATGCGTAGATAATGATCATGTCCCATATCCACAGGACTACGTAGTCTCGCATGTTAGTAGCGTGCTCCACCACTCTTTCGGAGACACTGAGCGTTCGCTTCGGCCGGGCGCCAATAAGTGTCACATTTTTCTGTAGCAGGTGTTCCAGTTCCCACGCCCAGTTGATCTGGTTCACAATCCTCGAGAGCGCCTCGTCCTTCCGGGACGGGGCATGCCGGACGACCGTGTGCTGCTTCAACTTCTCCACTAGCGCGCGCTTCTTCTGCTTGTTCTTCCGTTCCCATTTCTCGTCCTCCGGTTCAGAGCTGTCGGAGGCGTGGTACGAGGCCTCCTCCTCCTTGTCGGCCAGAGAGAGCGCGATAGGGTTGAGGGATATATATTGCATGCGCCGCGGGATGGGCCTCTCGAACTGGATGATCTGGATGCTCGATGCCGTCGGGCAGGCAACCTTGGGCACCCGGCATGACCGGCCGACGGTGGCGTGTACCCATAAGGGATCTAGCTCGAAGTCGGGTTCGCGATTGGTGACACCGAGAACATACATCGAGGACTGCTCGCATAGCTCAAAAATTCGGGGAACGGGGTGGGGCGCACTACGCAGTAGAATACCCGTAGCCAAGGCATTTTCGACATTTGACGGCTGCGATATCTGGTTAGTATGCAACGATCACGATCAGGACACTTCGGGGACCGGGCGGGCGAGATTGCCTACAGCAACGTGGTCTAAGACAGCGATGACAACGACGTCGAGGCTCGAGTTCCTCCAACCGACAATGACGCCCGGAAAATCAGACACTACAATATCGGCCGGCCAGAATACCCTCATTAGCCCATCGTTCTCTGTCATATCCAGGGTCCAGCGTCAGAGCACCCCGGCTAGAAGGAGCCTCTGCGCCGGAGTTGTTCTCGAGCAGAAATTCCAAGGCTAGGCGACCGCGGATGCTACCAAGTTGAACGTGACCCATTAGCGAATTTATGCACGGAGCATCTCGGGATAGCTAGGAGGACGAGCCAAGGGGGGGAGGGAGCAAGTCCGCCGTACCAGGTCGGCCTCTATTCGGGCGATGTGTTGGACGGGTATAAGGACTAGGAAGAATGCGAGACTCAGGAGGACGAATCCCTGAGTGGCGCGAATCTACAGGAACAGAGGCGGAATAGGCGTTAGCCACGAGTTCTAAATCTACGCATCGCGACCTAGCTGGAGTTTGCTCACAATGACACCTTTATCCCAGGCGAATATGACCAATTCGTAGAGCCGGGTGACGAGGTCCCATCGAGCGGTGATGTAGCCAGCTACGAAGATAGCAAGGGCGACGGTAGAGAAGGGGTGCATGTAGGAGGCTGGCCGAGTGTTATCCTCAAAGTCGCATCGCCCGAGGCTCGTCTGGTCTTTGCTCTGGTCGGTCTAGGGCGGATGGCCTGGGCCAGGCCGGTTGTTGCGATCACCAAATCAGCTTAGCGATGCGAGATGCATGTGCATGTCTCCTGTCTCTCTCCCGCCGACGGGTCGGGTGTCAATCGGCAGTATGAGATGGCTTGCGCCAGCGTCGTCGGGTTGTGGCACGGTGTGTTCCGCCGGCTATTTAGGAGGGCTAGGTCGAGAGAGAGGGCGAGGGCGAGAGCGATGTTGCGCATAGACTAGAAATTCGGCGTTGATCTCGCCCGTTCCTCCGTATCCTAGTCGGTCGGTCAGGGAAGCAGAGGCGGTGGGGATAGATGGCGTGGGAGTCGGATGGGTAGAACGAGCGACGGCGGCGGCGAGGAACGCGATCGAGTACGAGCAATGGGAGAGGGGCGGAAGGGGAGGAGAGGGAGGAGAGGGATAGGCACGAGAAATTCCCTGACTTGGGTAGTTAACTCAGAGTGGTCGTGGTTGTGGTGGTAGCTGGTTCCAGCCGCTGGCGTCGTAGGTGCCGCTGGTAGTTGTTGCTTGCCGCCCCCCTTGCAGCGGCTCGCATAGGACCATGGCGGATTGCGTATGCGTGTGTGTGCGTGTGCGCCCGTGTACAGGAGACAACGTGGGTGGCGGACGCAGATGTACCACGGACACGTTAGGCAGGCTGGACCGGTACTTAGCATAGGAGGTACCTAATCCCACATGTATTGTCCGACCAACACATAATATGGTGTAGGTAGCCACTACACACACTAGAGGGCGGTCGTTATAGTGGGTAGGTACCTAACCCGGAAGTGTGCAAGTATTGTACGGCCTGCCCCAGGAGGCAGCTCTAGGGAACACCACACACGGAGCGGTGGCCATCGTAACCGTCGTTAGAAAAATAAAAAGGGTCCAAGTTTCATCATTCCAACTACTTGTGTCTTTTTCTTCTTTTCTTCTGTCTTTCCTTTATTAAAAAACTTTTTTTTTCCAGTTGCCGAGGACTTCACCTGCAGGGCAGACACGGGGCGCAAATCCCGGGGGCTGCCGACCTACGGATCTCCATCCCCCATCTCCTTACCGAACGAAAGACGCCCGCTAACTGGCTACTTCCTCGGTTCTGTTCTATGTTGTGCTGGCGCGGCTATCCCGAAGGGTCGAGATAAAATGGGTCCCAGGTACAACATCTCGCTGGGCACTCATCGCTTTCCATCCGTTACCAGGTGGTCGTCTCCAAAGTTGCTGTAGTTGTAGCCTGTCGCGATATTTGTGTCGGTAGGTCTCATCGGTTCAGGCTGGTCTATTGCGTAGGTACGGACGTGGGCAAATACCAATACCCACCCTGTATACGGAATACGACCCTTTCTGTTGGTCAACACGAGCACGAACGACATGGAGTTGTGTGAATCGAGGCGGCGTGACGAGGGGAAGAGGGCGAAGAGGAGAGAGAGAGAGAGAGAGAGAGAAGGGAGCGACGCGAATTAGCTAAGAGTCATTCCCCCACTAGGGGCTTTATATATATATGTAAGGCGCAGTTCCATGGGGGGAAAAGCTTCGGCAGCCCAGCGCGACCAATGCGAAGCACTCCCCTCCTCCCCTACCCGCCTATCCCCGTTAACCTGGGCTACTTCGACCACCGGGGTTCGTTGCCGTCCCGGCCTGTCAGCCTTGGGGATTTCCTTTCTTGGCTTCATTTCTACCCCAGATCACACGACCGGCATGCTCAGCTGGACCCTAGACAAGCCTGAGCTCAGCCGTCTGGTGCAGTAGTGGCCCCCAGGGCACGTTCGTCTACTTCGCCCAGTCTCCTTCGATGGTGCCATCCGGAAGCTCGGCATCTCTGCTGCGTGGTGGGACAAGGCCACCACTCTCGTCATGATCATCGCCCTGCCGATGTACGATTCTTGGCTACGCACTGTGAGCTTGTCATTTCCTCTTCATGTGGAGAGCATCGCTCTCCCTGCTGTCTTCCCGCGCCTCGTCGAGAAGCTTGTCTATACCCCGTTCCTTCAGAGCGACCTGCGGAATGTTAGTGACCGAACCATGTCTTGGAGCACTCCTCGGGCCGTCATAGGCCAGATCATATATACGAGGGCCAACATATGTTTTCCGGCTCGTGTACTTAGTCTCTTCTTGCCGGCCTTCTCGCTTGCTTACCTGAAGACACTTCTGGTAGTCTTTGAAGAGTTTCGAGCACTCGTTGTCGTCTGCCTTCCCGTTCCCGCGGAGGTATTCTAAAGACCTGTGAGTAGCCTCAGCAGCAATTGGGGTGGGATGTCTGGGCCAGACCTACTTTCGCTGTACCACTTTAGGAAACATGTATCATACCGTCTGCGATGATCAGCCTTGGGCGGGGTGGCTAGAGATTAGGCTCCCCCGCACTTACTCCTTGACTTCGTTGCACTCGGGTGCGAGAGAAGCAGACATTGTTAACGATGAGAACGCTGGGGCAATTCGGTTGGGCGACAGGTCACGGGAGGAAATGCGAACAGTCCGAATGACTTCGGATGAAGGTGGTGACAGATACTAGCGATCGGTTTCGTTTTCTTCCCTTTCGCTACCGAGCCACCTTTATAGGTAGCACAACGGCGGAAGGCGATTAAGATACCCTTTCCAGCATCCCTCGGCGGACCCGGCAGCTGACAACCCGATACCAGGTAATACCTTAGATACCTACTCGGGTATCTAGTGCCCCAGCTCAGTTGGCCGTTATCGCTATCTTAGCGTGCCTCGCGGCGTCTTAGGTGTGGCGAGTTCTTTCTATTAGGTACTTCCGGTACTTATGGTCCACCATATTCACTCGGTCTACCTTATGTACCACTACCTCAGACCCCACCTGTGTTTGTCGATCCCCACGGCGACAACGCTAGAGACGCCCGATGAAGGTACATGTCTACCTACCTATCTACTCGCAACATGTCCTGGATAGGTAAAATTTCCCACCGCGAGGTTCAGCGTATTTCTTTTTCACAGTTTCAACCGCCCCGTCAACCACCACGTCAACCACCACGTCAACCACCACGTCAGCCGCCTCGTCGTCTCTCGTTGCGCCATCATACCGGCGCAGGCTCTCGATGCGCAACGACGATGGATTCCTCTAAGGACTTCAAGTCCGCCCAGGACAAGATCCAGTCCGCTCTCGTAGCCACTACTAGACTATGTAACCAGGTAGCTGCGGAGGATCTCGAGTTCCAGCGAACAAGCAACCCCGATGTTGAAGATCTGCTCGAGGATGCATCTATCCGCCTTCTCACGCTAGCCTCCTCTCTCCTTACCTCGGCGGCAAAAAACACCGATCTAAAACCCCCGAAGCTCGACGACAAAGATGATATCGATGTACACTGGTCGCGAATCGTAGATGTGGTGGACACTTTGCTCGAAAAAGCCGACACCTGCTTGGATGAGTACACCGGCATGATCAAGAGGAAGATTGCCCCCACTGAGTCTTCGGGGCCGCCGTCCAAGAAACCCAAACCGACCAGCCTCGACCAGGCCCTCCGCCGCGCCAACATAGTGAAGCCTCAAAATGCGTTCGAGGTAAAACCGGATAATCTAAGCGCATCGCCCTGGAAGCCCGTCCTCACCAGCAAGCCGCATGCGGTTGTGTCCCTGGAAGAGAGCCTCCAGGAGTTCGAAGACGAAAATCAGCACATCCAGTACGAGCATACCTCCCCATTTTGCTATGTGTCCTGGAAGCTCGGGGAGCTCTAGGCAAAGTTGAATCAGGCTGAACTGAGAGCTATACCAAGCATGCCACGCATTCTAATGGTGTTCTCTAGGTATAAGAATCCCTACGACTTCGAGATCGGCACCTCGCAATATCCCGAGGCCGTTTTCCAAACGAAAGAGCCTATCAAGTACCTGCCCGTAGAGACAACGACAGCTACGTTTGTCGACACGTTTGAGGGTGTGCTGGAAATGCTCGAGGACCTGAAGGGGGCTACGGAGATCGCTATCGATACAGAACATCATGATTACAGAACGTACACAGGCTTGTTGTCGCTCATGCAGATCAGCACACGCAACAAGGATTGGATCGTCGACACGCTGCGGCCGTGGCGCCGCAAGCTAGAAGTGTTGAATGAGGTTTTCGCCGACCCGAAGATAGTCAAGGTCGGCCTTGCCTCTCTTGTCTAACCTTTCGATAGCTCACAAAGGCTCTAGGTGCTTCACGGTGCGTTCATGGATATCGTTTGGCTCCAACGGGATTGCGGCCTCTATATCGTCAACCTCTTCGATACCTTCGAGGCCGCGGTAACCCTCCAGTATCCTGGTAGGAGCCTTGCGTACCTGCTTAAGCGGTTTGTTGACTTTGACGCGGATAAGAGGTTCCAACTAGCTGACTGGCGGATACGGTATGGCAAGACTCTCACCCCGGCGTCTATCCCTAACGTGAGCTAACTGACCACGTAATAGTCCTCTACCAGAGGAAATGTTCTATTATGCTCGCTCGGACACCCATTATTTGCTTTACATCTTCGACCATATGCGCAACGAATTGCTGAAACAGGATTCGGCGAGCAATAGTCAAAATTCCATAAACCAAGTCCTCGATAGGTCAAGAGAAACTTCTCAGCGGCGGTATGAGGGCTTTGATTACGATGCCGAAGGTGGACAGGGGCCTTTTGGGTGGTACAGCCTACTTATCCGCCAGTCCGTTGGGAAGTTTTCGAAAGAGCAGTTTGCGGTGTATCGTGCTATGCACAAGTGGAGGGACGAGGTAGCCCGCCGCGAAGACGAGAGTCCGCTCTATGTCATGAGCAATTCGACGCTGTTCGATATAGTCAGGCGCTTACCACCGGATGCCAAAGCCCTCCATAGTCTTCTTGGCACGATGTCCCATATTACCAGGCGTGAGGTATCGAGCCTGTTCGATGTCATAAGCAGGGCCAAAGTAGAAGGAGCGAGCGGGCCGAGCGTGGCCGAATTCATTCGACGCAATACTCAACCCACGATGGGCATCGGCGAAGTCGCCAAGGCGGTTTTTCCCCAGCTGCGAAACACCACGGCTGAAATACTCGATGTCAAGGATCTTGTCTCCCAGACATCGAAGCTATGGGGCGAGATTCCGATGAGTAGTCGATGGGAAGCGCCGTCGGCCATCGAAAATCCGGAGCCTACGCGATTCGAACTGCCTTGGGCACAGTTTGTGAAGTCGGTTAAGCTCTTGGAGGACCCAGGTCCGCAACCACAGCCGGCGGAGCAATCGTTAGTACCGGTTGAGGGTGCTAAGCAACAGCCAGAACAGAAACAGAGCGGTGATGGAGAATTCGTCGATGGCGAATTCACCCTAAGAACCGGCTTAAAGCGGAAAGCGTCCACAGGCGGCTCCGACTTAGAGCCGCGAGGAGCAGACGAGGCTTCGACGCCTCAACAACCCCCTTCCGACGATTCGCCGAACGCGGAAGAAATCGTAGTTCCCGACGTGATCGACAGTGAGGAGGAGAGAGAATTAGAGAAGAAAGCGAAGAGGGCTGAGAAGAAGGCTCGTAAACAGGCGCGCAAGGAGCTCGACCAGGCCAGGGAATTGGCGAATAGCAACACAAGTGCGGGTGCTACGGAGGAATCCGTTAACGAAGAGGAGCCTTTTGACTACAGCAAGGCTAAATCCGTCCTCAACGTCCCGCCACACCCCAACGGAGCACCCCAGACGGCGAAGTTCAATCCCTACGGCATGACCGTCGAGGGCCCGAAGCCGGCGAGGAAAATGCACGGGGAGAAGGCCGGCAAGAGCGCCACGTTTAGGGAATGAGAGAATGCCCCGCAGGATGCCTGGGACGACAATAATGTACATACATGCATACATAATACAGGTAGGGGCCACCAGGGCGTCGGGCCTCGCCTCGGGCTGCGCGGCATGGTTACGGAGTCGGAAGACTTTCTGACGGATCACGAGGAAACGCCGAGGGGCACCCAGCCTTGCTGGCCTCGATTCGACCCGGCTTGGGGACGATGCACAGTGCTAATCGGCGTCCTACTACGGGCATACTGACCAGAATCGACAAGCATGGGCCAAACGGTAAATTTGATTCATATGAAGGATCCCACAGTCCTGTGAACCCTTCAACCGGAACCATTGGCGAGTTCCGTCTACTTCGTGATATTTTCGCCAGTGTCACGCGGGGAATCCTACCTTATAATCAAACCTCCGTTGCCCCTGATTGTTAGGTTCCGCCTTTCCATGGAGTGAATGTAATGTCACTCGTACAAACCACACAGTAAGTAGACACCAATACCTACCTAAATTAATAGCTGCACTACGATGCTCGATCCAGCTGGTAGTGAGCCTGCTGATGCTCGTATGTCTTCTCTCTTCTCGAAACAACTACGCCATTCCTTTTAATTTCAAATCCAGCAGTCGGGCATTCTAACTATGCGCATCTCTCACGAAGCGTTGTAGTACCTAACAAACACTTTCAGCTTCTTACGAGACGCCTAAGATATCGATACTTCCTCACCAGCGCCATCCGTTCAGATGAGCACTATCCTCGAACTTCTAGAGCTCGTCCCGCATCTCGCTGCTCAGGGTCGTGGGCTTAACCGTTTCCATGGCGCTGCTAAAGTGCCTCCAACACAGCACACGCGTCTCCTGATCCTCTTCCTGCTCCGCCACGCAAGTTACGGCCGCTTGAACGCACAAGTTCTCAAGGTCGGAGCTGGTGTACCGATGCATGCACCTCACAAGCTCAGAGTATACCGGAACGTCGAGAAGGACCTGAATCGGCGCCCGGCGGCGGACGGCCGGATCCAAATCAAAAGGCCGGTTTGTCGCAAGCAGGATAAAAGGCGAATGCTTTCCGGTCACGAGCCCGTCCCATTCCAGGAGAAATTGGTTAACCATGCCGCGGATATGCCTTTTCTCCCCAGTCTTCGGTTCCCCAGCATCGCATCGGCCTCATCCAGGAACACGATGCACGGTTTGAGCTTCCGCGCCATGGAGAATACTGCCTTGATGACCTTTTCACTCACGCCCCAGTACTTCTGCCAGAGATCGGCGGTCGAGATAGAGAGCATGTTGAACTCGAGCTGTCGAGCCAGCCCTTTCGCCAACGACGACTTCCCAGTCCCCGGAGGGCCGTGGGGAATGGCCCCCGTGGCCCGATTTCTTTCAAGCAAGCCGTAGCTAAAAGCCTTTGGTCTCTTGAGACACATGCGGGTTACGTTTTCGAGCTTACGTATGTCATCTGGACTAACGACAATGTCATCATAGTTCGGGGGGATCTCGTCTGCGAGCGATTATTTCGTTAACTCAAGTGCCGAGTCAGTAGCTCTGGTGTCATTACCTATGCTGACGATGAACTCCAGAACCATTTTTTCAAATTTATGTATTGCCAGACTGCTCTACTTTTTCATCTTCTTGTGATGCCCCCTTTTCGTCCGCGTCGTGTCAGATATTTCGGAATCAAGGTCGCTGTCGTAAAAGTCCCCTCCATCCCCGTTGCTTGGAAGTGTATCGGAATCGCTATCAAGTGCGCCGCCCCTACGCTTTCCCGCCCAATGGGGCGCGATAGATCCTTCGTCCCAATAGCTTCTCTGGAACTCAGCTCTGCGGGCAACGTAATAGTTGTATCAGGGCCCGCGGAAAGAGAACTGGCCGTTATAAGCGAATCACCAGAAAGTCAGTGGCTCTTTGGGAGGAAGTTGACTATGGGCGACTATGATGATGACGAACTTCGACGCATCTTCGTCGAGATGGCCAAACACAACTCTCTACATATTGAGGGTGGCGAGAACGGCCGACACGCCCGTCTATTGGCAGCACAGATCAGTCGTGGCCGAGGGCAGGCTGGATTTGGAAACGCTCATACGCTTAACGCGGCGTACCGCGAGGCTTTATACCGGTGGGTAGCTCGCATTAGAAAAAGTAACCGAGAAGGTTCTGCCGCAACTGACGAAAAGGTTCTGACCAAAGAAGATATCATCGGGCCTCGACCGAGAGATGTCCGTAACGAGAGTAAAGCGTGGAAAGAGCTCCAAAGCATGGCGGGCTTGGGGGATGTCAAGACAGCTGCTAGAAACATCTTCGAGCGAGTGAGAACCAACCAGCAAAGAGAACTTAGTGGCGAAAGGCCTCTGGAAACCTCACTCAATAGAGTGTTCATGGGCCCACCAGGGACTGGAAAGACTACCGTAGCGAAGCTATACGGTCAAATAGTGGCCGATGCTGGCCTTCTGTCAACCCAAGAAGTTGAAGTTAAAACACCGAGCGACTTCATTGCATACTACATAGGAGAATCGGGGTCTAAGACTAACGCCATACTCGACTCTACAAGAGGAAAGGTCCTAATCATAGACGATACCCATATGTTCTACCCGGTGAACAGAGCGGATATATCGAAACAGCCAGACGATTGTAGGATCGGGCGCATCGATGTTCTCGTGTCCAAGATACGCAACCAGCCGGGCGAGGACCGCTGTGTGACCCTTGTCGGCTACCCAGATTTGCTTGAAGAGATGTCTCGGAACTGCAATCCTGGTTTACGAAGGCGCTTTCCGCTCGAAGAAGCCTTCCAATTTTCAGACTACGACAACAAGAGACTGAGAGAGATTCTCCAGTTGAAGACGAAGGCATACCAAATTACTTGTACTGAAGCAGCTACGAACGTCGCAGTAGAAGTCTTACGTCGAGCGAGGGACCGTCCTGACTTCGGAAACGGAGGTGATGTTGTGAACCTTCTAAGTCAGGCCAAGATTAGATACCATAAGAGGATTTTAAAACAGAAGAATGGAAGGATAATTGGCCTGACTAGCAAGAAATATGACAACGATTCAGTCACAGGGAAGCAAGACGACACTGGCCTAAAAGTACACGCTGCCAGGGGCTCCAGGTATTCCTCGCTTGGGCTTGAGGAGATGACCGGAACGTGTCTCGAACCCAGAGACTTTGACCCAAACTACGACCGTGGTGCTACTGCCAGCGAGCGATGTCGAACCTTGTTCAATGGACTCCACGGGTTTGAGGGCATCATCCAACGTTTCGAAGAGTGCCAACGAGAGGCCGAAAACTTGGGGCTCAGTTCCAAGAACCCAAAAGAGAGCATACCATCCACATGTGTATTTAAAGGTCCCCCGGGGACCGGGAAGACCAGGACAGCCAGGATAAGCGGCCAGATATTCTACGGCATGGGGTTTCTCTCCACCAACGAAGTTATTGAGTGCTCTGCTACAGACCTCATAGGCCAATATATCGGCCGCACAGGCCCGAAAGTGATTGAATTTTTTGAAAGGGCGCTGGGAAAGGTTTTTTTTATTGACGAGGCCTATAGACTAGGACCCACCCGCCGAGGTGAACGGGGCAGCTTCACAGAAGACGCAGTTGGGGAGCTCTTCGACTGCATAACGAAACCCCGGTATCAACGAAAGATGGTCATCATTTTAGCGGGATACACACAGGATATAGACCAACTCATGGAGGTTAACGCTGGCCTCCGAGGGCGCTTCGCGACCGAAATCGAGTTCCCTCCCCTAGGCGTAAGGGCCTCCACGTATCATCTGCAAAATACTATCAGGAAGAAAGACATAGCCCTGACGCGGGGCGATGATTCCGACGAAACGGAAACCAAGCAAATAACTAGGCTACTGATGAAATTGAGTATGACAAGGGGCTGGTCAAACACAAGAGACATTGAAACGCTAGCAGATATCATCGTCGCTAACATGCACAAGAACAAGGACGTGGCCAGGAGGAGACAAATGGATGAGATGCTGGAACTCACAAACAGTACTCTTATCATGCATTTGAAGTACATGCTTCGACAACGGACTGGGGGGGGTAGAAATTAAAGTGGAATGCTACGGGTCTAAGAGAGATGGGGTAGAATCTCAATATTTCATACTAAGTAGAGATGGTTCTTAGGCGAGTGGTGTTATTTCGATATTTTCAGGTGATGGTAACTGCTATCGAGCTTTAACGAAGACGTACAACCCAACCAGGAGGGCCACGTCCTCCCAGTGAGGGATAATATTTAGGTAGCCCAGACATGATCGACTCTGTTCTCGTGGACACCCTTTTTGCACTCACATCTCTACCGACCCGATATACACACCATATTCTCTTTCACCGTAATGAAAACCAGCTAGATGATTGTAAAATATGAGTGTCGCAAGGGCAATAGATTGTAGGGCACTGGGCCCTTGGTAGTTGGTACAATTAGAAATCTTGAGTAGTTGTTTAGGTGGTTCCTTGGGTAGGTATAATATCGTGTAAAGTTCCTGCCTATCATTCAAGTAGTTCCTCGGAATAGTCGCTCCCGTTTCGATGCACAAGCCACGAGGAAATTCGCCATTGTAGATCCAGGGGAGCCTTTGATTCAGAAGTGACGTACTTACGCAACACCCGAATGGCTCGGCTCCGGATCCAGTGGTATGTGTCATCAGACGAAACTCCAGCGACCTTTTGGTTAGCGCGTGTGGCCACTTTTGGGGATCATTTCCTCTCGATCGTGGGCAAGCCAGAGCTATTTTCGCTTGCCAATGCTCACTATCAATCGACTTGCCATCTGAGTCTCGGGGAGACGACCATTCCAGCCCTTTTGCAAGGCTCCAAAATGTCGGCAACCCGACTAACAATGATCCATTCCGCGCTGCCCGAGGACGTCCTGCGGGTCGTCTTGAGCCATTCTCTTGCTCTCGACTGCCTGCTATCACTCATCGCATCATGCCGTCCATTCCTCGACGCCTTCAGAAGCTCTCCGGCTGCCTTGCCCCGGTCCATCATCCGTTGAGAGGTTGACGATGCAGTGCTTCTCGGAGCGATACTTGTGATCAAGGCAGCCTCGCTCCGACGCGCCCGCCGCCCGTCGTCAGAACTACCCCGAGCAGTGTTAGAGTTATTCGACTAGTCCCGGAGCGCGGCGCCGAGCTACAAGTGGACTCTTCCAAACACAATCGCCGCCATCAAGCTTCACTCCATAGTTGGCCGCCTTGCGAAAGAGATGAGTTCCTCCTATCTCTCTAGACTGGAATCGCTTTCGGGGCGCAGGCAAAGGACCTGTCTGGGCAGGAGCTCGTTCGTATCAAGCGTGCGCTGTACCGGTTCGAGCTCTATTGCAAACTCTTTCCACCTCCCGAGCAGCATTACCTAGAATCCTCCTTCATAACGGCACAGCTCGTTTTTTCCCGACGATTCCCCGCTTGGGAGAACGAGCAGCTCGCCAGCATCCGTGAGTCTCTATGGCGCAAGGTGACACCAGGTGCGTGCGTCTTTACGTTTTTGGTTGGCTATGGCCCCGGTTGTGTAGCTAATCCGAATCTAAGGAGCTTTCAATGCCTTGGCCCCTCACGGCATCTCACGGGGCGAATTCCATACCTCTTATGTAGTCGAATTCGACGACCCTTTCACTGAAGAAATTCTATCCGGAAGCCTTCGCGGCATACTTGATCTCGTTTGTGCCGAGACATATGAGCGCCGATATGAGCCTCTGGGCTGCGACGTACCTGCGGCGCCCAGTCTCTTCTTACACGAGGCCTTTAAGGAGTACAACTTCCTGTTGCTGAAGCACGATAATTCCACATACGCAGGCGACAGCTTCATATCTGCCGGTGATGATGCCGTGATTGAACGGGACACGGCACCTCCGTATAGGGGTCTGGAAGACACGGGCCCCGAGAAGATTTGGAAACGGTCACACCAGGACGAATCACGAGCGCTTTTGGCAAAAGAGCCGCTGTACAAGTCTATGAGGGAATGCGGTTTTGTTTTTTTGGGACGAGAAGAGGTTTGATGGTGCCGGTCTGTTCGATCGCAATTGGTCTGATATCGACTTCGAACCGAAGAGAGAGATTGCCTTGACAGAGCCGGACTACGAGGAGGAAAAGCGGTCACGGACGGAAAGATCGGATCTCTACAGAAAGGGGATACGAGGTTATTGGGAAAGGGTCGAGAACACGAAGCTGGATAGAACTATAATACCGCTTGTTCATCAACTAGAATGCGTCACGGTTGGAAATCTAGTATCCCTAGCTTTTTGCTCCTATCAACAAAAAGGTATAGCTAAATTGGAGCGACAACAACTCTGCCATCCCGCTCCTACTTCAGTCTACCTGATGAAACGCACATCAAGTTAGGACTTGTTACAGCCTCTAGTAAAAGGGAACCCACAATGGCTCTCACACTTGCTCATGTCCGCACCATGGCCTGCGTTTTAGAACAGTTTTCTCAAATTTTAATGGCCGGCCTCAATCTCTACCAGACATCTATCCAAAAAATTTTTTTTTCCAATGGTATCAGTTGCCAAATATTCAAACGTCAAAGAAAATCAATTTGAGCCTTTATAAAACCATCTGTCTCGCCCGGTGCTGCATGTTTCAGCGTCCTATCTAACTTTGCCTTCGGTAGTTCCCCTAAATGCCTTTTAACAATCCATAGGAGCTTCTCGAGCGACATATTGCGTATTTAATTAATTTTTGGTTATACTTCATTCTTGTCGAGTCCCATTCTGGCCCTATCTTGACGGGCCTACCGCCGCTATAGAGCTCATACAATGAGACACCATGCGAACTAAGCACCAGCAAGAACTCTGGGTTTCTCCTCATTATGGCTTGCTTGCTCATCAAGTGCGCCTGCTGAGACGACTAGACGCGGCAGCAGCCTCGCAAGATTTCGTCATCTTCATTTCAAGTCCCTTTGCAGTCCTTTTCTTTGGGGCATACGAAATCTCAGTAGGGCTCGTCGTCCTGTCTCGAAAGTTCTCGCCCAACCCGACCAGCTTATATACGATTATGACCCGGCACACCAGAGCTGATCTTAAAAAGCGGTCCATGATCGAGAGCGCGTCGCGCGGCCCAGGAGCGATGACAAACGCCAAAATTCCGAAGATGGTATGCAGAAGAAGTCCTCAACTAGAACCCCTGGCCGGAGTACGAAATCTCATAGATCCAAATGCTGCCAGAACAAGATCCTCCACAGCTCCCCATATTAACCCGTTTGAGCTCTCATTTGCTTTGACTGTCCACCCCGTAAGTTTAGTTACTCTAACCCATGTTTCCCGGCCGGTAACGGAATGTTAATGGATGAAGAACTAGTCACCGGTTGCAATGTACATTAATCTAGTAACGATAGATGATATTAGCCAGAAGATAAAACCGCGAGACGCAACGACCCGATTATCTCTATGACTAGTAGGGATATCGGGGGTTAATCACAAAGTCAGCTTGAGATTTCACTTGAAAAAATCTGTCTAGTCGTGAGTTTTTCAAAGTTCCGAACTAAGTACTGAATAGGGCGCCGTGATAAAACTCTACTTACTCGGACGAAATGAGAATAAAGACAAGATGAATCTATCGGTAAATGGTAAATATTGGGTCCTTTGTATGTCTCTGGGCCTCAAATTGAGGTCAGAAAATGTTGGACTTGGGGAAACTCTAGCTGAGGGCCGAAAAGAGGGCCCCTTTGGGGAATGTATTATCCCCAAAGTGGACCATTACAGGCTGCTCAGCTCTGTACCCGAAAACGGATTTTAGTGAGCTTGAGTTTCGTCTGTGGATTATGTGGTATTTCGTGCAAAGTCGCATAATATGGTGTAGCAGTGCCTAGCCCACGGTGGACTCTGGAGTTTTGTATTCCGTCAGTTACGCGTCCCCTAGGTGTGACTAAAGGGCAATCGAATATCTACATGTTCGGAGGCAACTCATCCTCTAGTCTCCAGGTAGACACCTAGACAGGAGGTGCTTTCTATCCTGTAATGGTATCATGTGGGGTTAAAACCGAAGGTTCCTCGAGTTGAGGACGCACTGTTGAGTACGTGAATATGTCACCTAACTAGGTCGTACCCCTACCCACGGTAAAGAAATTGTTGAGATGTGGCCAGATGTGTTCTTGGACTGAACCGGCACGGATCTAGCAAGTTCTAATACCGTCAGTGACTCACTCAAGTTCTGTTGCTTATAAGCTCAAGCTCTTTAATGATCAATTTCTTCCCCTACTAATATGTGAGAATAGAGGATAAGCCAAAGGATTTTTAAAGCAGTAAACCCTAATTATAATTCCTGGGCACTCTGAAACATGCCCAAAGACAGATGGAAATATATGGGATTTGAGCGCTATAGCAGAAGCGGGCCGGTTAGCGTGGTCTACAAGCCAAATCGGCACAGGGGCAGATATTTGGATCTGTTGAGGCAACAGCAGGCCTGCGGTGGCGCACGTCCCGAGGAATTAATATCAGGTGAAAGATATCCAGGAGTTGCGTTCGCCGAACTTCCACGGGCCCTGGCACCGGCCAATGAGCCAGCACCGGTTATGCCTGGCGGAGCAGGCCTCCGGCCGGCGAGTATACAAGCAGACCCTCTACCCGCCCTCTTCCGAGTCCCGGACGCGGCCCCTAACCGGGACGGTGGACCTGCGGTAGGAAGTCATACGGGCAGCCACCACGGCCAACACAGCAGCCAACGCAACAGCCACGAGGTCAACCAGGCGCGCCCACTCCTACATCCTCTCCAGGGTGGCGATGTTGAGTCGAATCAGCAGTACCAGCCCCCGCCCCAGCGCCGCTGGCCCGACAGTATGCAACTCATCTGGTCAGACCCGGATCCCAGGACAAGCCGGCGGTACCTCGCCTTCAACCCCGACTACCGGGGGTTCTGAGTTGGCCCCCCGTGGCTCCCAGCACTCGTTAGTAAGATGGCGGCGGCCGGCTGGTAGCGATAGGGAATGAAAGATAAAATGATGATGTGCCGACGATGCGGTCTCATGCATTTTAACGATATTCCGAATAATATCAGTCCAGGCTTGCGGTAGTGGGGTGCGAGGAACAGAGTTGATGATATGAGAAGAGAAGAAGATTTTAGCTTACACTCGCGTAGGCGGATATAATACGAGTCCATCTAGTACGGTGCACTGAGAATAGAATACTCTAAGACGCCAAGAGTAAAGTGTAGATGCCTACATGTTGCCGCGGAGGGATCGGATTCCTGCAGTGACGAATTTGGCGAACCACACATGAAATGCCTTCACCTGTGTAACGCGAGTAACAAGTAACGAGTACTGACTCACTGGATTGTGACTGATAAGCATCTCAGCTCCCACGCGCATTTGTGAAGTGACACAAACGGAAACTATACCTACAAGTTAATAACTGGTGAGAGACGCGTAGAAATGCCTTTTGGCAATGGAGCCGTCTAACCTGGGTGGACTCTATTCCTGTACACATACCTATAAAAATGAACTGTTGTGTTTTTTTGGGGGGGGAAGGGGGGGAGGGAGAGGGATGTGGGAAATTGTATTCGCTGATTGAGTTGAGTTTACTCCCAGCCAAGTGAGAAATACTCATTCAGGTGCTTCGACACGCTTTGACATACTTCAGCTGATCGGCCAGACGCCCATCGTCATCCAAATACGTCCTTGGCTCAGCATCGATCGGGTTCCTGCGTGATGGTGCCAAGAGGAAAAAAAAAAAACTCCGAGTAGACGCGGTGTCTCGACTCTCAGCTGGCGCAGCGGCGGAACATAACTCCGCGATAAGCCCCAGGAGTTACCTACGAGGATCGGTCCATACCGTCAATTGGCAACGCAAAATATCAGGTGGTAATCCGGGGACAGGCTAGGTATGTCATATGATGTGTTATATATGTCTCATTCCACATCTTGAGATGACCCATTGGGTGTGCTATCGTCGGCTTCGTTTGCGAAGTGCCCATGGCGGACCGCCGAGTTTTCCAACTATGGATCCCTCACATTCTGATCCAGGCTGGTCATGCTATCGGATGCCAAGGGTAACTGTAATGTAGGTATGATTTCTCTGCTGGCATATTTTCTTCCGCTCCCGTCGCCGCGCGCGGGCAAGTGCGGAACATCGGGTTGTATGTCTTACCTACCTCCCATGTTTCAATCCAGCTGGGGATCGTCCTGTATTAAGTGGTTAAAATACGACGTCCCGATGCGCCAAAGACGCCACAGAGGTAGGTAGGGGTACTTAGGGTATATACCTAGGTACCTAGTCAGGTACCTATCAGGCCCCAAAATTAGGTAGAGGTAGGTACCTGGATAGGGGCCTAGGAGGTACCCATGGTCGAATAAACAGGTACCTGCAGGTAGGTATGGCTTTGCTCTCTAAAACACGGCACCTCAGGTACCTATTCTCATTCATGTACTCGTATACGTCATCTCTCTCCCAGTACACATACCTCTACCTTAGGTACTTCCATCATGAGGTACCTAACCCAAGATGCTTGAATAATGGTGTATTACGTAATTAAGACCACGGCAGCTGAGAGTGGACATGTATCACCGATCGTCCGGGGCTGTCTGAGGCTGTGTCATGTCAACTACCTACCTACGTTCAGCTCGCAATCACAATTGCTTTTCCATCGAGAGAGACTACGATGGACCAAGGCTGTCATTCTTGAATCTAGCAGATCCAGCCGCGGAGGATGCTCACGCTGCCCAGCCGTCATGCCCACCCAACGTACGACCGTCTTATGGCGGTGCTCGACCACCCGGGACCTTGGCGGCGAACGACTCGACGTCTGTGTATTACTCCAGGACTCCGCCGATCGTGGCAGGAAGGCAGGACGATCACCGTGGCTTGTGCCTATGCCCCTATCGCTCGGTCCCATCGTCGACCCGAGCCGTTTTCCCGCCCCCACGCTCGCGCATCGAGAAGACGCGTTAGGATCGGGTGCCCACAACTACTCGTCTTCGCACATACGCTGGGCCGCCTCCAGCAACCCCCCCTACTGTATACGCCTGGGTGGACTGTCTCTGTTAGCCAACTGCTGTCGTGTAGCTTACTCCGCACGGCATCTCCTCGAGACCTTGGGCAAGAGCGGGCTTTGTGTTGCAGGTAGAGTGCTCCTGGCGTGGCACGCGGAGGCGACACTGGCTTCGTCGGAGTATCCCGATTCGACAGCGTAGAGAGGGTAGCACGATGGGCGCAGGGAGCATGCTCTCGGTCTCGCGTGTTCGCGCCCAGCAATCCACGTAAGGAATCATTCCCCGTCTCCGCCGCCCATCGCCCATTAGTAAACAAGTACGATGGCTAGGGATCGAGGAGCGGGCTGCTGCGCCGTGCTATAGGCCAAGACACAGACGCCGTGTGGTACGTGGTTCCTGGCGTATGCAGTGCGCTTGGGTATAAGTAAGATAGAGACCACGAGGGGTTCGATCGACGGTTCAATAGAATGCCGTCGTTTAGAATTAACCCACCAAGTCGATACTCACTCGTCTCTCTCTCTCTCTAGCCGCACCCCATCCACCAGCCAGTACCGCGTTCGCACATCATACCCGCCTCGATAATGGGTAGCGTAACCGCGAAACCTCACGTGTTGATCATCGGCGGCGGACTCGGTGGACTCCTGCTTGCCCAGGGGTTGCGGAAGTACAACATCTCATGTGAGGTCTTCGAGAGAGACGACAGCCCCGTCTCTCGGACTCCAGGCTGGGCCATCGCCATACACTCGTAAGCATCAAGATTACTCTCGATATCCTTTGTAATCGGCCAAGGGGGCAACTGAGGGTTGGATATGCCACACGCCCAATATCCCCGCTTGAACCGAGATTCCTTAGTTCACAGACATCGAGATCATCTCACTAACGGCACTAGTCTTCGTGATGACATCCTCTCAATAATTCCAGATGGTGAGCCATGGAAACCTTCCCCTCTCCCCAATACTTACACCGAGTTTTTCTAGACCGAGAACAGATGGTGTCTCAGTAACTGGCTAACCTCCTTTTCCCTTCTCGCCACCGCGATGGTAGACCTGCCGCCTCTGAAGCAAGCTGTTGATCATCTGATGCCGTTGAATCTCGATGCCGAGATTGGGATCTACTCTCAGGGCCAGCGCGCAGTTGTGCGGAGTACCCCCGAGGCTCCTATCATACGCGCGAACCGCTTCCGCTTCCGGGAGTGGCTCTCCACCAACGTCACCATCCGGTGGGGCAAGAGGGCGACGCGGGTCGAGGAGCTGAAGGAGGAGTTGGGCGGAGGGGTCCGCGTCCACTTCGAGGACGGCACAACCGCGGCCGGCGACATCGTCGTCGGTGCCGATGGTGTGAATAGCATCGGTGAGGGAGATATTCCATTGCAAGTACTCGGCCGATACGGCACTAACCCGGTCAACACGTTCCGAACCCATATCAGTACGTGAACATGTCCTGCAGCGCCCCAATAAAGAAACCCTCTCGGCCATCCCAGCCGTCGTGCTCGTAGGCGAGGCCACCATGTCTGGCGACGCCTTCCTACGCCAGCTCTCGCTCGGACACAGTTGCTACATGACCAACGACCCAGTCGCCAACCGGTATTTCATCTTCGTCGGCCTCCGACAGGTAGCCGACACGGGTGACTCCGGGCGCTACTACTGGCTGCTCGTGAGCGCAGACCCGACCTTCACCGGAGACGGCAAGAACAGCGACGGCACCCGGCACTGGACCAGCACCGCCACTAAGCCAGAGCTCCTCGCTCGCGCCCTCGAGATGACCTCCACGATGGACCCTAAGTTTACCGAGGTCATCAGGTCGACGACCGCGGCCGACATGTTGGACGGGCCGATGGTGATCCGAGATGTCAGCGCTGATATCTCGGATCTGCCCGTCAGTCGGGTAACGCTACTTGGTGACGCCATTCACCCCATGTCCCCTTGTACGTAGGCCTCCAACCACCCCCTCTCCCCCCTTTTTCTACTTGAAAACAACCTTTCAGCCTTACCAAGACGCTGACCTTACTCAAAAGTCCGTGGCGAGGGCGCTATGCACGCATTCCGAGATGCAATCGCCCTAGCGAAGGCGTTGGGTAAGCTGACTTCAAACGACTGGCCCACGATCAAGGAGATCATCGGCGCGTACCAGAAGGAGATAGTGCAGCGAGGCGGCGACGCAGCCAGGGCATCTAGGAACGCTTTGAAAGTGAATTCAGGAGGTCACGGCACGATGTTTGCCTGGGGCCAACCGGCCGCCCCGGCACCCGAGAAGGTGGTCACCTTCGAGAGCATCCGCACGTGATGGCAAATTAGGGGATGCGGGGTCTCGAGTTCAGCTAGGTTGGGTTACAGCTGCCTACCTGGCCTGTTGATAGGTTATAATACTTGCTGCCACATAAGTCAATATAGCGTCACGGAAATATAGATAAGCGTGTGAATCGGAGGAACGGCGAGGACATCTCGCAGCACATTCCGTGCGTGAAGATGTCGGAGTACCGGGCGTATGAGTAATAGCGTCGGCGAAATACTCAAGTTGTCCCGTTTCTACTAACGGCCAGACGTTTCCGCTCTATCGTCTATCTCTATTGGAGAGGTTGACCTGTTTACATCGTGCCACATCCAGTCCAGCAAGGGGAGTAGTTCTCCGCGGCTGAGCATTAAATTCAACAGATACTCCGGCACTAGCCGACAGGCGTAACATTCCTAGAATTTGAATACCAACGTTGTCCAGACTACCTACAATGGGCCGCCCGGCAGCGTCGATTCTCTGCGGCGGGGGGCTCGGAGGGAGGTCACTTGTTCGTGAGCTTCTGCTCGAGCTGGTCGACATGGGCGCGGATCTTGTCGAACTGCCAGGGCCAGTTGACGACGTACAGGAAGGGGCGCAAGTCGAAGCGGTTGTCGTCCGGATCGTAAGGCGACAGGTGCATGCTGGGCGTGATGACGCACGCCTTATGGCGGTTGAGCGCGTGGAAGCGGTAGAACCGGAAGACCTTCTCAGCGATCTGCCGCGGGCCGTATCCCGGCCGTTCCCGCCACTCGCTCAGCAGCCGCAGGTACGCCGACCACGGCCCCAGCTTGTCGACCTTCCGCATGATCTGCATCCGCACACGTGTCAGCGAGAGCCCGCTCGGCTAGCTTTAGGCTTTATGCGCCCCCCTCCTACCGAAAATACGTACCCCGAAGATGGACAGCTCCGTGTATGTCAGCCCCATTTCCTCCTCGTCGTCCTGCACGCCGGCCGAGAGGGGGAGGAGCTCGGCCGTCGGTGTCGCCTCGAGGAACTCGGTCAGGATCGGTAGATCCCACTTCTCCCGTGCCCATCGCTGGAAAAATTTGGCGTCGTCCTTGGATATGCTGCCGAGCGGCGCAATATCAGCGGAGCTGGCATCCTTTTCGGCCGTCAGCATAGCCTCAACGGTAAATATAGCGCACAGTGGCTAGTTCTGGCCGCATCTTGTCCGATATTAAAACTTAGGGTTCTATATAGACTTACATATTTCGTGAAGTAGCCGCGGAGATTCTAGTCGGTCGGTTAGTATTTGTAATTATACGTGAAGATACGTATGGCATAGCTCCTAACTTACCTCATCGACGTTACCAGACCCCAATACGAGCAACGCGGACCCTGCTCTCGGGAGCTTTCTCGCTGTAGTTGATAGCTGAGCGAGCGAGTAGGCGATGACCATGCGATTGCGAGCCTGGATGTTCTGTTTCGCTAAATTCTCAGCCGAAGAGCCCCCCTCGACTAGGTACTTCGCCTTGAAATTCAACGCCTTTTCGACCATCGTCTCGTGGGCCGCGATGGTTTCGTCGATCGTGATGTCGGAATGGTACGCCCCGATCATTTCCGTCAGTCTCCTTGCCCGCCCCTGTGTCTCCGTCGAGGAATTGACCGTTCCCATGTAGCAGGTGTGGAGGAGCCGTGATACAATTTCCTGAGGCGTGGTGGGCGTGAAGCTTTCGTCGCCGGTCACCCGCCTCAGATCCTGGAGCGTGCTCTCTTCGCCGCGACCGATGGACTGCAATACGAATTTGGCCATCCCGTACACGAACAGCGCAACGCTGGAGCTGTCGAGGCCACCCGATAGCGCCAAGAAGAAGCCAGCCATGTTGGCCCTCGTTAGGTATTGCCAAAGGTAAACGGAAGTAGCTGCGTGAATCTCCTCCATGGGATCCATGATTCGGAGCTCCATTTTCCGAGAGATCTCCGGTTGGCTTGAGAGCCAGACGTCTTCGATCGGACGACTCAGCACAATATCGCATTCCACACGGGGGAAATCCGGCTGCCGGGCGGCCTGGACGTTCCGGCTAATGCTACTGCGGTAGCTCCGGACTTTCTCGATGTCGACCGTCGCGACGGTCACCTCGACAGGTGCGAGCGAGAACTGGCTGCCCTGGGCAAGCACATCCCCATTCTGGATCACCATGCTGCTACCATCGTGAAGCATGCGGGCCTCGCCGTCAACCCCCGTCGCGTTTGCGTAGACGTATACACCACCAAGCTTCCTCGTAGAATTGGCGATGAGTTCGAGTCTGGTCCTTAATTTACGGAGCTCCGCGTGAGAGGCGCTCGAGTTCAGCGTTATTTCGGCCTGCTTCGGTGTCAGTATTATTCTCGGGCGGTCGCGAGAAGGGACAGGGAGACACCTACGCCGTTGAGGCCGCTGAAGATGGATGGGTTCAGGGGGACAAACAGCTCCTCGCAGGACTCGCACGTGACGGCCGTATCCGGTGTCGAGAGGATCATATCCCCGATGGGGACTGTTTTCTGGCCAGTGGCCTGCTGCAAGACCTGCTCGAGATAATAGGTCTCGACCTCCCGCGGCTTGGCCCAGGCTGTGAAATGGCGGGCCTCGCGATACAAGCCGTCGTTCGCCAGCGCCATCTTAGGTCGGATACAGAAGATCCTCCGGTACGTGCACAACACGCGGGCATTGTACCGGACATTCCGATGTCTCACCCCAGCTATAGCGACAATCAGCTCTGCGAAGGAAGATGATGGGGGGAACGGCACGGGGCTATTCACCTCCTAGGTCGATAAGCATGCCCCGGCACACCTCGTCCGAGATGATTTCGGCGAGGACCTCGGTAGAATGCAAGAAGGTATCCCCTTCGAGATGGTGGTCGAGAGCTCCGTAGCCGGGGATTTCCAGCTCGGGCCCTGTCCTCAGCGTCGCACCCTTCTCTTTAGCAATTCGGATGGATTCGAGAATCCGGTTGCGGTTCCCGAGGAAATCGAGGGGTACGCTTGGCAGCGTAGCCGCTGCGACAGTGACTAGGGCCATGACGATTGGAGGGTGAGTTTCCGGAGCGGCCTAGCCTAGACCTCTCAGCCAGTCTTAAGCCTTGTGTTATGAGAGTTTTCGAAGGCCTCGCGTTCGAAAACGCCGCTGATGGACGCCCCCAGATGTGTGGGGTGGAAGGTTGGGGGAAAGACGGGGAGGCAATGAAGGAGCAAAAGGCAACCAGAGAAAGATGTAGGTTTACCGCACGCGCCGAAATACTGATCTGCCGCCAGCCAGCGGGGATGGTATGCACTGGGGATGGCAAGGCCGGTATTTGAATTCTACAGATCTGATTTAATATGCAAGGAATACCAGCGACAGACAATATGTGGGATAACAGGGGACTCTCGTAGTAGACTCCTCCCGGCTGACTCATAGCTGAGGTATTCTCGGGTACATCTCGGTGAGGTAAATCCCATCATGTGATAGAACCAATTCATATGTTAATATTTGGCGTTTCGCTGTAGCTCATGGCGGCGGGGTTGGAGGGGTAAGTTAAGTTTGCACAGGGTCGCATAGGTACATCGCACAATCTTGGGTACCTTTTAATAACCGTTGAATCGCCATTGGCAAAGTTTCCCGCATATTTTAAGAAAATTTCCATTTCACATTCGGTTCCAACCTTTGAATTTGTAATTAGAGTTAGGTTTCTTCAAGGTTTAGGAGGAGGTGTTTGATGAAGTAGAAAAAATCATACCGAAGAGGGGACAGTGAGGGGAAAACCGACCGAGTGACCGCAGCTGTCCACAGCTGCTCAACATACCTACACATTAGCAGCTGTAAAGCGATGGCCAGCTGCAAGGCCAGAACTCACCACAGCACTACAGCATTCAAGTTAAAGTTACAATATAAGGGGAATATCCGCCCTTAGAAAAGCGCGAGTACTAGGTCCGTACTCATGGAGGATTCGTGCTAGAGCACCGTTCGACACTATGCTAGCGCGCAGTCTTAGTTTGTGCTAGGAGAACCTTACTAGGTGCAGCCCGTTGCGATCTCCGAACTTCTCCCCTCGTATGCCTTCATTTATAATACCTTCTATAGCGCGGCAGGGGTGCAGCAGCCCCCAGCACTATTGTGTCTTGACTTCGCTCTGCTTTCTGGAGCTCTATCTAATTAACTTATGTCACGTAGAGGTTGCTCCCTAGTTTTGCACCTCTTCGTTGCTTACCTCAGTAACAGGAGCTCCTATACCATATGTCACATGACAACGGGCCACCCCCCTAGCGGGCCACCTATCTCCTACCAAAAAACACGAAAACTAACCTATTTTAATTATACCGCTACTCATTAATTTTAAAGCTATTTAGGAAATACTATAAATATGGTTCGTATAAAGCTTTATCTTTAATTATGCGTTTTCTCGGTTTTAATTAAACGTATATTACGGGAGATATTATAGGCTAAAAGTAGCGGTAAATATAAATATATAGCTATAAATTACTACCTAATTAATAGGAGTAATGTTACGTAGCTAGCGAGAGCTAAGCTTAGGTTAATAGGTTGTTCGTAAAAAAGAGCAATAAAATGAGAGTAAGAAGGTATATATTAACTAACTAGAAAAGAAGGAAAGCTACTAGAGAGTATAGAGCGATCTATAGGTATATATAGTAGTACTTAGCTAGCTTAGGTAAGCTAGGTAGTTCTTATTAAGGGTATATACCTACGTAATATATCCCTTAATTAAGCTTACGATAATAAGGTTAATTATAATCCTTTGCTTACGATAGTAGCCTAAGGGGTTATTCCTTAGTCTCGCTATATCTCGTTAAGGTTAATCGATTACTAGGTACCCTATCTCGGGCTCCCTTATATTCCTTTATCCGTATATGCTCCGGTTTATTACTAGTAGTATTTTTTCCTAAGTTATATATTCTTCGTATCCCTTACTTAATACTTCATAGTTTATTATAAATGAAAATAATTACTCGTATAATTATTCGTATAATTACTCGCTTTCGATTAAGCGGTTATTAGTTATATAGGTAATATAGTAATAATAATAATAGCTTTAATATTAATACTAGGATTTAATTTCCTTTATTACTATCGCGCGCGTTCGCGCGCGTTACTTATATTAACCGATTCTGTCGTTTTTCCTACGAAGGCGGTTAAGTATAAATATATTTAGGATTTCTCGCTCTCGAATTAAACGTACCTCTTTCTTTTCCTTTCTTCCTTAGGTTATTTATTATAGGTATATACCCTTAACTATAATTAAGTAATTCCATTAATTACGCGATCGTAAGCTAATATAACTAATAAAGCTTCGTTAATTTATTATCGTAAGGTAAATCCGTTTCCTTTATAATCTACGTAAAACGTAACTCGCGTATTATACGAATCGTAATATACTCTCATTAAGCGACCGTAGGATAATAACCTAGCTTATTACGGTAAGGGTTATTATTTACGACTAATATATTATTCTTAATATTAAAATATCTTAGGATAATAAAGCGATCGTTAATTATTTTATATTAATAAATAAAAGGTTATTCGAGATAATCCGTTTATTACTTATTCGTTATTTACCGGTAATAATATAATACCGTAGTTAACGATCTCTTAATATATTCGATACTTAAAAGCTTCGTAAAATAATATTAACGCTTTAGGGTACCGTAGCTTCGTTAGAGTAAAGGATATTCGGCTTCTCCGCCGCGAGCTTCTAGCCTATCTCCCGTATTCGTACGGGGAATAGCGTTAGAGCTTCGGCCGGTAGCCCCGCTCGCCGCGGAAGGATACCCTTTACTCCCGAGTCCGGGACCTTAATTATCGCTTAGCCCTTTAAAGATCTTTTTATCGACGAAAGCGACGTCGATATAATCGTACCTAGCGCCTTAGCGTAACGTACTTAAGCCTTAGTTACTCGAGCCCTTTAGGGTACCGTATCCCGAGTTATTAAGGTCTTTACCGACGAATTTTTTAAGGAGGAATTTTCCGAGAAAGACTTCCCTTTCTTATACGAGGAAATAATCGAAAAAAGCGACCGTTTAATTATATTAATTACTCGTAAAGTTCTCTCGCGTAAAACCCGAACCTAAATTTATATATATTAAGTTACGTTCTTTAATAATATCGCCGTTATTCGCGTAACCTAAGCGACCGTTATTATTATTATTTCGATTCGTAATAATATCGTAGGACGAAAATAAAAATAAAAACGAACCCGTAACGTTTCCTCGGCTTCCGGAGTTACTATCGCTTCCGTTACTTCTTTTAACCCGGCGGTTCCGGCGGTTCCGTTTAATATCTCCGTCGTACCGACCGCTTTAGCTTTTATTACCGTCGCCTTAGGAATTACTTCGGTTATTCGTAATCGAAAGTACGAAGCTCGTTATATAATCCCTTACTTAACTTACGTACGTAATACGGTTTAAAATAAATCTATTAAAGAATACTTCGATTCTTTCTAGAGTACCGGCCGTTATTACCGCTACTTATCCGGTTACGCTTACGTATTTTTATAAATCCTCTTATCCCCGTACGTCGAGGTCTAGAACTAATATTATATAAGGCCGACGCTTTAATCCTACCGGCTATCTATCTTATCGTCGCCTATATCGAATCTTCGGTTAATATATAAGCTTTATTTTACGTTAATTAATACTCGCTAACGCTACTTATAAATCCTTAAACTCGCTACGATAATAAAGAAGCTTCTTACGTTTTATTAAAACGAAAAGTAAATACCCGCGGTATCCGAAACCGTAAAATTACGACGAAGCGTAACTAACTCCGGTTAATTTACCTAGCTAAGCGTAAGTTCTTCCGCTACCGGCTTATCGATTACCGTAATCGTATCCGTTCTTAGTTTTATACTTACTAGCTCTTTTATTACTTTAACTAACGTAAGTAGCGTTTCCGCCGGCCTATCGACCGTAATACCTAACGTAACCTCGCTCGTTATCGCCCCCGAATAAGAATTAGATATAAAAATAAAGGACGTTAAAAGAAAGGAAAGGGAAGAGGAAACTTCCGAGAACGAAAAATAATCTTCTAAGGAAGTAATATCTAAAATCGCTCGCGTTTACGCGTCTATCTCTTTCGAATAATATCTATACGAAATACTATACCGATAAGCCGACCGCTTATACGAAGAAATTATCGAATATTAAAACGAATCCGCTAGTACTCGTATTTCCCGCTAGTCCGATTACGTTTACTACTCCCGTAATTAAGTTCTTTATTTTAAAGTAGCCTTTTTATATTAAGATCTAAAAGTAATACGAATTCGGTATTTAACGGTAAGAAGAATTATCTCTATATAGCGGTAGTACTTTATACCTATACATTAGTTAATTAAAGGAAGAATTTACGTACCGTTAATACTTACGGCGACTCTTTAAGTATTATCGTAACTACTTTTCCGTAAGTATCCTATAGGTTAAGTAATGCTTTAAAATACTCGAACGATTAACGTAATAAAGCTTTCGTAAGTCCGTTTATTAATATTTAGTTAATAGGAAAGTAAATTACTTCGAAGGTACTGTAGTAGTGCGGTAAGATATGCCCTCTTAATGCATTACGTAACACGCTACGATAGGCCGTATGCCTATATAGAGTAACTATAGCTCCCGTAAGTACGGGATATACTATATTTATTATTTAGTTCATTACTTAACTAGATTACTATCTTTATTATTTTTGCCTTAATTAAAGATTCGTTTTTACCATTAGATTCGTCGTTCTCCGATTAGTATATCTATTTTAGTTATAGGCGCTTAAGTTACTTCGTCGTACCGCTATAACCGAATAAGTAACTTTTGCGTTTTGCTCCTTTTCTTCCTTTACCTCTTATGCCTTCGGGCTAGCGATTATTATATCTCTACGACTAAGAGGTATAGCTAAGATACGATAACTATATTAGATTCCTTACCTTTCGATTAATATAGTGATATTAATTTTATCTATCTTAGACTATCGTACGTACTATAGTCTTTAATAGAGTATACTTTCGAGTAAACCTATCCGGGTCTCTAGCATCGCGTACGCTCTACTCCTCCTTAGTAGCGACTACTACGGGACTCGAACCCGTAACCTTTAGTCTACGGAGTTTCTATTACGCTATTAGGATTTAAAGGATATCGATCGCCGTCGGCGCCGCTATTTAACCCGCGAAGTAGCCCGCGTTTTACGTTAAATAAAGTATCCCGCCTTATAGTTATTTATTTACTATAAGGAGGTACGTATAAGCCCGGGAACCTTTACTACGATA